GTATATAGGGTTGAAATTTCGTTATCATTAAATATAGTTGATAGTATAATTTCGGATTAAATGCCGTTTGGTATTCGAAAACAAAACTTACACTTTTTCTTTTCGCAAATAAAGTTCAAAAGAATCATTTAATTACTTACTCAGAATCTTACTCTTGGACTTCAATTTTCAAAATAGTATACTGATTAGATCTCAATTTGTGTATATTTCTAGATGGTTTCAATTATTTCAGCCAGGACTTTCAACTGATTTCATCAATTAAAATGGTAATCCCTCGTACACTGTGAATCCATGTGTGTTAAAGTACACGTTCAAATCGTGTAGTTGAAATTTTTGTTTTTTATAAAGCACATTGTGGTGGCATGGATGATAATTGTAAGGAAAACCAAAGCTATGATGCAAGTGGTTACAACCAGTTACAATAAACTGGACACTTTTAAATGGAAAAAACTAATGTAGTAAAGCTGTGGAGTGAAAAAATTTGTCCGTCAAAGATTTAACACCATTACAAGTGTGTAAAATCTGTGACAGAAGTGTTTTACCCTCTATTGCCTTCTTGTACAAATCGTTAAGGAAAAACAATTGTTTAGTCTACAATAGTTGTGAAATACTTTACGAAGCACCGATTTGGTTTGGAAAAAACATTTTTGTATAAATATGTTGCTAACGATCATTGAAAAACCGTCGTTTTCAGGAAAAAAGAAGTCCAAGCCCGAGCCATGAATAATAAATGTCAACAAGTCGCGAATCAGCCCCGCAATCTACGGTAGCATTAAAGAGACCGACACACAGGGTGTACATGCACGTACACCCACAGCGTTGACTCCCGACATATGTACGGCCGTCACGCTCCGTCAACCAGACTCGAAGAACATGTACATATATATACATACACAGGGCGTACGTAGAGTCGCGTAATTGCACGCCCAATGATAATAACCGGTTTACATACTTTCGAATCGAAGCTCCGGTGGGTATGTGTGTGCATGTATGTAGAGGGCGAGGGGGAAAACACGTGAGTCAACGTCAAAACACTGCGGTTGCACGGGTGTGCGGAATCACTGCCACTTTGCAGTTGTTATCGACGTATTAGGGACTATCGAGCGTTTAGGGCTCGCATATATACAGGGAAGAACACGTATAATGCCCGCAAAGGGAATTGTGAGAGTCATTGTTTTTGAGTGGATGGACAAAGTGTGTATGTGTGGGTATACGCATTGATGCGCGCACTGTTTGATTTTAACGATGTTTGGTTTACGGAATTCGAGTAAATGTTTAATGAGATGGTGCGGATGGGTGATGGTGGCGATGTACGTAAACACAAATGGCTCGAGGCAATGACGAGGGTAAATTTTCGAGAGTTCCTTATGACTTTACCTGTGGTAGGGGTGTATATTTACATTACGTGCACTGCCGATGTCCTTCGTTATATTGAGTTTCCAAGGTTTTTCCGATTGTTTGCGCGTTTGTTATCTTTTGGATTCATTATCTATCGAGTTGCAGAGAAAAAAAATTATTACTCATCGTACAGTTTTTATGATTATGGACAATAATGGGTATCATTACTTTCTGGCCTTGTAGAATATAATAAGCAACGAAAATAAAGTAACTGAAGCAAACAAAATATCGGTTAAATTATTATCGATACATTTTTTTAGGTGTACATCAGAGAAAGTTTCAAGTCAACGCATAAGTAGTGAATTCAATACATATGTTCTATAAAAAGTGATAAAAACTGCGCTTGCTGCAGGAAAAGAGTCAAATATCATCAGATTACTCTCGTCATTAATTCATTGTATACTTATAAATACTTTCGCCATCATCGTTCGTTGAATTTAGTCTTCCTTTCCGATGACATTCCACGCCCATTAGAGGGATAACTCGAGAGCCTCGAGCGTCGCTTACAATGTGCTCTTTGAAGGGGCCAATGGATTATCAAGGCGATCCATTGGCAGCAAACGTATAATGACAAAACGATCTCAGGACGCACACGTGGACACCTTTTTTTGTCTCTTCGACGCGATTCCTACACATAAACTAGTGAGTGAATGTAATAACACGTACATCCTGTTCTTGCATTTAAAAGTGACTACGAATCAGACAGTGCCCATAATGTATTCAAGCAAATGCACGACTTTTCGTATCAACTAGTTTTGTAAAATAATCACCCCGTATATACCTAACAAAAATCTAAGCAGAACGACGCGTCACCTCGACGCACTTGGTCTTAAAAATCGTAAACACTCGCCGTCGAAGCAACGCTCACCGCGAATCTCCGAGTACAGTGGTAGGAAGAAACTCCGCAAAAACGAGAGAAAAAAAAAAAAAAAAAAAAAAAAAAAGAAAAGGGGGAGGATGGGGCCGTTTACAAGCAAGCTTTTTCACTTCGCTCGGGCAATGTCGCGCCAACCCCCTCCACCCCTCTCGGGCCAAGGAAATAAAGAAGCTCGTCTCTCGTTTCTATCTCTTCCTCCCCGCATACGTGTACACGCAAGCCCCACTTAGCACCAATTTTTCCCCCGCGTTCGTGCGACGCACACTTAGCCATTCCACTCGAGCTTCCCTTCCTTCGTCCGACAACGTCGCTTACACGCTTTTCTCCTTTTCGAGGCTCCCCTCACGCTCCTACGCTTATGTACATCCAACGTAGTGTCTTGTAGGCCCTTGTAGCCACCCTTACCCTACAAGCATATATTTACCGTGGGGAGAGAAGCTAAGAAGGTAGGGCTGACTCGTGCGGCCTGCCCGCGACACGAGAGCCGTGGTCTGTAGCTTCTGCATTATTGAAAAATCTGCGGGAGGAACGGAGTGGACAGGTAACCCTACCCCGCCCCTATTTGCGTGGATACACCACACACGTGTAGGATAGGTGACGTTGCGCAAGGCCAAAAGGGTCACCTTGTGTACAATGTGTGTTGGGTACGTGTACGGATGTGGTTGGGGTGTATACCAATAGTCAAAAACGGTTCTATGGATAGATTCGAGTAAGAGCATAAAAGTTAGGAAAAAACGTAGCGAAGGTTACGGGTGAATGTAGTGCTCGGATGTTGTTTTGGTTTATTGCTAGACCCATCCATTGTCGATGCGTAAGGTGTTGACGATCAGGAAAACTACTGTAAAGAGCAAAAGAGGAATACAAAGGACACACCTATACAATACGGGAATTGTTTATTTTATTCCTTTTAAAAAGCTTCCACCACCTGAACAATCCACGTGCAAATAGCGTATCGATCGTTAAAAGATAAATGTCGTTACTTGCAATAAAAAAAAAAAAAAAAAAACTTGCTCAGTGTAAGTCCTTGTTACACACATCGATCGACCGTATAGTTTCAGAGCTATCCAGTCACAAGAAACGAATGCGCATGTGGAGACCAATGTCCAACGACCACCACCATCTTAGAATTCTAACTCCCTTATTACACTTCATGCAGTATGAAAGGGTACATCGCGTNCTAGAAGTACAGGATAGTATTAATACGTCTCAAATGCAAGCATTAGTATGGAAGACGCAAAAAAAGTGCTTATAAAGTAAAAAATATTTTACCAAATCGTTCAAGATATAGTAAAAATATAAATAAATTCAATAAACTAAATGTCAAGAATTGATAACATGCGCATGTGGAGACCAATGTCCAACGACCACCACCATCTTAGAATTCTAACTCCCTTATTACACTTCATGCAGTATGAAAGGGTACATCGCGTCAATATAATGCCAGTGAGTAGCGGTGTATAATCTGTATACCCACCCTAGGCCGTGGTTTCGTCGAATGATTGTTCGTGCGGACTATCTCTACCTTGGCTATAATGTATGACTGTGGCTATACTTCCTTTTGCAAAGGTTTCGTTCTGCGAGCCAGGTTTGGGTAACCACGATTTTACAGCAATATGAACCACTAGAGTTGACGTATCCATGAGTTTTTTTTTTTTTTTTTTTAACTAGCATAGTAACCTTTTAACATTGTGGGGGGGAACGAAAAAAAAAAAAAAAAAAAAAAAAAAGATTCAACTGGAACGTTACATTTTCGTGCCATTCAAGTACAATAATACATGGTAAAAATAATCAAGTGAACAACAAAATATTGGATCAATTCTCGTGAAAATCCGGTAACACGTGGATACGCGAGTATAAATTTATTATTTATCACTCGAAAGCGAGTACACGAGGCTTGAAAACGAGCTACGCTTCAAAATGGCGCCTAATTGCTGGTTATGCGGAAACTATTAACGCCCCTTCGCACTGGGAACTTCCAGCTATTCGTGTTTTGTACTTCCTGCTTTGTTTTCAAGGGACGACAGGAAAAAAATAACAAAACTACTTGATAATCTTTTATAAGTGGAAAACAACAAAAAATTTTGTTGAGAATTAGTTCACTGAATTTCGAGAGACTTACTAGAGATTTATGCTGAATTTTAACAACCAAAGCTTTTTTTTCGTCAATCGAAGATTTTTTCATCACAAACACGAAATCTTGTTTTTACTAAAACATATATTAAAACTTACAACAATTGAATGTAGTTTTTTTTTTTTTTTTTTTTTTTCAAGAAACTTTTCGAAAATTAAGTTGAATTATTTTGTACTTGACTCTAAAACAATGAAATATATTTTGGAAAATAGAGGAGTAAAAGTATGTTTCATAAATTTTTAAATCATGGAAGACATACGCTCAGAAGTAATGCTGTTGATTCCATGATAAAATTTCCCTTTGAAATACGTGAAATATTTTTATTTCGTATAAAACGATCTATATCCGACGTCAAACATTATCAAGCAGCATTGTCGATTCCCGTAAATAAAAGCTTTTTCAACACATGAAACTCTTTAATTATTTTATTCAATGCAAGCTGTAGGCAATTAAAAATAAAATCCACACCCATCATTTTTTTTATTACAGCCATTGAAACGATTCGCTGCAAACAAGTTGCAGTAGAGTCGTTGAAAAAAAGGGTCAGAAACAAGGAGCTCCATCATCAGCCTGATATAGCTTTGATTATTTATGATGGAAGAGAACAGTAGGGGAGAAAGTTTATGCAAAGTGTGCGGCGACAAGGCTTCCGGAAAGCATTACGGAGTGTCGAGTTGCGACGGCTGCCGTGGCTTTTTCAAACGCTCGATCCGGAGGTATGCGAGGTAATTGTGTTTTCATTATTTATCTACGAAAAAAAGAAGAAAAAAAAATGTCACATCCATACCAAGTTCGTCGAGTGAACGTGTGCTTTCGTTGCAACAGAAAATATGTATTCCATTGTGTTAAAATATGAGCTTTTACTCGTTTCTTGTGACATCAATTTGTTTTTCTGACATACATTGGTATTTCTAGGGTTTAATTTTTTTTTTTTTTTTTAATGGTTTTTTTTTCTTTTCCCTTCGTAGAAATTTAGATTATGTGTGCAAAGAAGCCGGACAGTGCGTCGTCGATGTTTCCCGTCGAAATCAATGCCAAGCTTGTCGCTTCACAAAGTGCTTGCAAGTTAACATGAAAAGAGATGGTGAGTGTTCAATTTTTCACTTGTAAAACCTAATAATGCGTTAAATTATAACCATGTACATTTTCAAGTAAAATTGGAAAAAAGAACGATTTCGATTTTGAGTTATAATTTCGATTTAAATTAAATACTTCCATTACTTGAAAAGTTTTTGGAGATGGTTTAGGAGATAGGTTGAGAGAGCTATAATTTTGTTGATTGTTTTAAATTACATAAGATCTCTAATTATCAATACTAACTTACATTTGTTACACTAATTTTGAAGAAATTAGTAAAAATTTTCAATTAAGCCTAATAATAAGTATATCTTAACCTAAACTTCAAAATACGAGAATTCCTAATCTCGTTTGATTTGTGACCCTTAAAATCAACTCTTCCATTATAATTATTTTAACTTCCTTACTCTGCAGAAAATACATTAACTAGCTGTCTTAAAATAAAATAATTAAAAACTTAAAGACTACCTTAACAAAAGTTCTGGTAGTCAAGTCCTACCAACAATGTTATCTAAAGAAATAGTATAAACCCATAAACTTTAATCTATAAACTAAATGGCTAAGTAAATGAAAAATTTGTTATCTTAAAAATCTTTACTCTAAGCTATATTTTAAGGTGGGAAAGCTATATATTTCATGAATAAATACGTGTAGAAATTGAAGGTTATACCATAAAGATATCAAATTAAATAACTGATTTTCAAAGCACTACAAAGTTTGAAGAGTACAAAATAGATTACTGAGTTTATAAGCTTATTAATCTGTACAGAAAAGTATTTATAGAAAGCTGTACAGAAGCTTAATTGATTAACTATTGAGGGTATTTTTTGGTAAGGTTGACTACTGTTGGATTTAAGATTTTTTAATTAGAGTAACTAGGTATTGGGTAAAACTGCTCAGATTGAGGAAAGTTTAAGTTTATAATCTTAATTTCAGTTAGATAAAGAGTCAATGTTTTAAACTTTTTGAGATTGTGGTGTGTTTAATGTTATGTTAAATTCTTTTTTTTCTTTTATTTTACGAAAGTTACCTCCTTTGAGATCATTATGAATATCATAATATATTATACGTATGTATTGTATCATTATATTATTAAATATGAAAATCATCATTATCAACTCGTTTGATCGTTTCCTCTAGAAGTACAGGATAGTATTAATACGTCTCAAATGCAAGCATTAGTATGGAAGACGCAAAAAAAGTGCTTATAAAGTAAAAAATATTTTACCAAATCGTTCAAGATATAGTAAAAATATAAATAAATTCAATAAACTAAATGTCAAGAATTGATAACATCAAAGTTATTTAGTTACAGAAATGCTTGATTTTTTTTTGAGATTACAATATAATAATTATTATGTTGAAATAGAGTAGAAGACTAAATAATATGGTGAAATACACGAATGAATTATTATACAGCTAATAATTATACTGCAGCTCGTTTTATCGTTGCACTTGATCCGGTCTTTCGTCGCAGTACTCATATTGTTATAGCGACCACAGTAATGTCGGCACTAGAGTCGTATTTTAAAAATTTTTTTAAATCATTTGTCACACTTCCCTCAACATACTGACAAAAGTAGTAAAATACGATTCTGACACTTCAAGATAAAATTATGGCAAAACAATGCAGCTTCTCATTAGAATTTTTACTCGTAATAATAACTGCATTGCTTATTGCTTACTCAAAACATAGTGTTTGTGTTGAACTAGTTATGGAGCCACATATTTACAAACAAGTAGTGAAAGATATTAAATATATCTTCAACAACACGTGTATTATATTTTTGTACACTGATGAAAATCCTAATTCATCATCTAGTAAGTATAAGATAAAAAATGTATATTGAATATAAAGTCTTGTATTTAGATACGTCATATTATTATTATTACCAATATTATTTTTAATGTCATGACAACTATTGGAGCTATTGCAATTATTATAAATGTTCTTAAAGGTCTCAAGAAATCTGAGCAAATCTTGTCAATTCTAGTCTACTTTGCAAAACTTCACATCCGCACGTTTGCATACACTAGTAAGACTTTTAAAGAAAAAGTAAGAACTTTCGAAATAATGATTTTTTCATTAGTGTGAAATGTAACAACTAGTTTTTTTTTAATCCATAGAATTTACAGCAAACTTTTTTAAAATACAAAATATAATTTGACAATATTTAATATCATACGTAATACAGAAACAAACACAAATTTATTCATCTGATGCCTTGTCCTTTCAGATTATAAATGGCAGCCTTACGTTTATAAATCCATTATTCGTAGTGATGTATGATTCTGAAGAAATGAGACAACAATTTTTAAATGTAAATATCGCAAGGTTTTGTACATGTGTTTGCTCGATTAAGTGTGGAAGCGTACATGTTACTGAAATAGTGATCAGTACTTATAAGATTACGATTGGCAGTAGATCTCACGAATGTAATACATTTTTTGAGTCAGTGTGCGAGTGTATCAGCAACATTGTCGTAATTACTTATTTTATTTCTATTAATATGATTCGTGTACTTAGGAGACATCTCCCTGCATTTCGACAACTTGGACCGATTGGATATTTTTTTTCGGAAAAACAACAGACGTCACGTCATTTTTCTCTGGAATTTTCGTGCCTCTAAATACTCAGTTAATTGTAGTACAGGAAATCCGAGATAGTAAAAGCTTGAAACTCAGTGAAGTTTATAACATTGCCAAGAATCAAAAACTGGTAATGAACCATTTGGGAACTTGGGACGAGGAAAAAGGACTGAGGGTAACCAATCTGACTAAATATCAGCGCAGAAATAATCTTTTCGGACAACTGATTCGAGTCTCTTCAATCAAAGTATTTGCCAATCAGAGACTGGCTAAATGATACGCTATCGATATTTAACGATTAAATTTTTTATTATTTGCTTTGTTGGAGGATCCACCCATCTCTGTAATTCAGAGAGACGCCCATGGAAAAATGATAGGCATCGAAGGTATCTTAGGAACAGTCATCAGAAACCTCCAAAGTAACTTAAATTGCACGTAAGCAATTCCATCAAAGCCGTACATTATGCCCTTTTGAATAACATGTTAACTAAATTAAATTTTAAAAAAATCTCTCACGCAGTATGAAATACATCGAAAGCGACCACAAGGGCTTGCTACAGTCGAACAATTCGTGGACCGGAGTCATTGGCTTACTCGACAGAAACGAAATTGATCTCGCGGCTGTTGGATTGATAATCACTGACGAAAGGATGAATGCAATCGAGTTTACTATTCCAATTTTTTCTTCCATGTAAGTATATGCTGTTACACTTGGTTGATGTATAAAAAGAAAAACTACATCACTCAGTGAAGTCGAACATCATCTGTAGAATCCGGATTTTCATCAAGAGACCTCGTGGTCCGGCTATTAACTGGACTTCATTTATCAGCCCTTTTTCTTCTGGGATTTGGGCCAATCTCATAGTAATCTTGATATTTACGAGTGGATTCGCTGTGCTCAGCTGCAACATATTGTCAAAGTGGATAACTATCCAGAATAAAGAGGTCGAGAACTGTTTGTTTGCTAACACACTTTTCCACATGTTTGGATCATTATGCATCCAAGGTAATAACAACGATAATTGCGATGATGAAAACATCAACTACAAATGATGAAATAACTGTTGATGTCTTGCAGGTTATAACTCCGTAAAAGTCGATTCGGTACGAATAATCAATTGGACCGTACATATCACGGGCGTCGTTATTATGGCATCCTATTCAGCTGCCCTTATCAGCTTCTTGTCAGTTAAAGAGTATGACACTCCTTTTCGGTCAATGGAAGGCTTGATAGAGGATGGATCTTACACGTTGGGCGTGATATCGAATTCCGCAGAGTACAGATTTCTTGAGGTCTTACCTAACCCAGCTTAATATAACCTAACCTATATAATCGATTTCACAAATAGCTAATAGTAGTAAATTCAGATTTACTCCACGCATGTTGAATTGCTATAACTATAGAGCAATAATTTTATAAGATCCATGATACTTGATGTATAATTAGTAGTTACCACGTATACGTATATTTTCATTAAATGATTGTTTCTCATTCCACCGTAGATTGCACCAGACAAGACTATACAAACGATATTTAACGAGTTTCTCGACGAAGATCATAATTTACCCCAGAACTATTTCGAAGGCCTTAACATGATATGTTCGAAAAACAAATACGCATTTGGGACCATAGACATGGCCGTTGCGATGTTGAAACACAAAATTTCCTGTGACATAGAACCCTCAGATCCGATGATTCGGGTTACATTTGCAATGGCTGTGCCGCGAGGAAGCCCATTCCGGGGTATAATTGATTACAAGTATGTTCGTTAAACTAATCTTAAATAAAATTGGATGAATGCAAGGTTATTTTCAATTGATTTTTTAACAATGAAAGCTCGTGTTTTATCAACAGCATCAACTTGATGAGAGATAGCGGTGTCATTCAAAGAGCTATGGTTGCTGAATTGTTTTTTCAACCAGATATGGTCAGTTCTTTTCTCATACACAGTAATTTGAAGGTTAACATCACTGACTTCTCTGTATTATTTATAGGAGAAAAATTACTGGATCTCCGTCGAAATATTGGATGTTCTTCCTCTGCTTTTTCTCGTTTTAGGAAGTTGGATAGGTGGATTTTTATTACTTTTACTGGAGAAAACTAGAAAATTAAAATAAAAAGGATATTTTTCAGCGGTTGTAAAAGTAAATATTAAATTGTAAAAGTAATAAGCTTTAAATTAAAAATTGCAACAATAGACTAGAAAAATATCCTTTTTATT